ATTAACGCAGGGCCAGCCGGTGTTGATCTGAACCTGCCCTCACCCCCACCCATCTAGGTTATGGAACATTCCTCCATCTTGTAAACCCCTTTTGACGGGCTGATGTTGGTGCTGGCTGTGTGTCACCACGGCGACATCCTCACACAATCACATGGGCAGTGTTCGTGCCCCATATGTGGTGTTTGGGTTTACACTGGCACATGCTGGATTTAGCCTGCCACGTGCTCAGAACACTGCCTTTATATTATAGCTAATAGGTCACCAATGGCGTCTCTTGGCGTGGTCCCGCCCTCTTGGGGTGTCTCACCAATGGCGTCTCTTGGCGTGGTCCCGCCCTCTTGGGGTGTTTCACCAATGGCGTCTCTTGGCGTGGTCCCGCCCTCTTGGGGTGTTTCACCAATGGCGTCTCTTGGCGTGGTCCCGCCCTCTTGGGGCGTCTAACAAGCTCCGCTTGCACAACGATGTTCCCCTCTCACTCTGCTCTCCGTTTCCCCAAACTTCTGTGCCTCAGGTATCCAGCCAACTCCGAGGAGGTCACGGCGGGCCCCGGTGTGGAGGGGGACACAGGTGCCACCGACGACCCCCCGGGCTGGGAGAGCGGCTCCCCGGGGCCCGGAGAGGGCCGGGACGGCCTGCCTCAGCTGCTCCTGCCCGACAGCCTGAGCCAGCTGGAGGAGTTTGGGCGGCAGAAACGGCCCAGGAAGCAGCAGCGAGCCCACAGCCGGCCCCGGCTCTTCAGCGACCTGTGGGTCCGCATGGAGGCCAGGTGAGGCCCCGGGGCCCCACCCATAAGGGCAGGCTGACAGCCAGATAAGGACGTGTTAGGATGGTAGGGGACTGGTTTTAATCTCACAAGGATTTTCAGCTGTACCCACAAGCGTGCTGCCTAACTGCAATACTTCCTGTAAACAACCCAGCACACGTCCCATATAAATGTGCAGGACTGGCCGCCACTTTGGAGGAAGACATGATAGCTTAGCGGGAAAGTTAGAATAACAATCTGAGGCAGAACATGAAAATAAACTCCTCTCTGCGCGTCTGTTTTTCGTTATTATCACCGTCCGTGTTTGTCCGCTTGTCTTTAAGCAGCACCACTCCCTTGGCCAACATCAGGATAACGAACGGCTATGTGACGGTGGAGCCCCCCCTGACGCAGCAGGAGCAGCGTCGCCGGACTGTCGGCACCCCCTGGGAACGTCCTGCCGGCTCGGCCACGCCCCTCGCCCCGCTGAACTTGGCCTCGCGCGACACTGGCCACGCCCTCACCTGCCTAATAACCTGCCTGGTTCTGCACATGTCATTCACCTCCTGACCCCAAGGGGGAGCCATTCTCCCTTCTAGATGCTGACTGCCCAAAACCTGTATGAGAACTGAGTACATTAATGTCAAGCCCAAGAATGCCAGGGATCTTTCATACAGACCACTTCCCACCTTAGAAAACCAAAGACACCCCCCCAGTTTCGTGCCTGTGGACCGTTCCAGCAGCTTCCTATCAACACGGAGTCAGACTGTAGTACAGAACAGGGCTTTTCAAGCACTGTGGCTCCCTACCTTACTTACCTTGCTGAGCAGTTCCTCTCTAATCAGACAGCAATAGTAGTGATACTGATGATGACTTACATAAGTGTGTTTATAAAGGCAAAATGAAGACTGACTTTGTCCCACAAATGCAGTGGCCAAGACAAAACAGAGCAGTGTATTTAAAAAAAGACTACAAATCTTTGGAAAGGCATAGTGATAATTAAAAATATATATAATTAATATGCAGAGAGAGAGACTGGATTCTAAATTTTAATGTGTCTACCAATGTAAATAATAATAATAATAATAATAATAATAATGTAATTCTACTAATGACCATAACAACTCATTGACGTCTTCTAGAAGCGCCCTGCCTTTGTGGTTTTTGTAAATTGTGCATTTGTTCATAAAGAAATATTGTGTATTTATTCTTTCTCGGAGAGTATATTTTCATGCATTTGTTAATTACATAAAAGAATAAAATATAAACAGAAACGCCTGAGCATTTTGATCCCAAGAGCCATCGTCTAACAGCACCGGGGGTTTCCTGACCGGAGCACCCAGCCGCGAGGTGGCGATAAACGCTGGTGCTGCTGGCGCGCGTGAGCCATGGGGTAGGGGTGCGTGGCTCAGGCATCGCCGGCAAATTTTTCAGGACACAATTACGCAGAACGTCGGTGTGTACCGGTATGTATCGTTACATGTCTATTCCCGCTTGTAGATGCATGCTGACACGCAATGCGAGAAATGACACTTTCAATTTCGCTGTTATATTGACGTTAAGTACGTCAATTAGCTCTGAGACAGAAGTGATCCTATGCTGCCCTCTAGTGGCATATATCAAATATTACAAAATTCAAAACAACCCTGCATACCGTGTTTATTCTGAAACGAGCGTTTAACCTTACTGCACATTCTTTTGTATTCAGTCTATAGTCTAAGAATTATAAATATAGTAGTATATTTTATAGAGATAGTTTGGCTTGAAATATATTACAAATTCTTTAAGGAGAATTGAATAATCCAACTCGGCAGCTGTAGGCCTGTTTTCAATGAAATTTAGACACATCACATCTTACTGAAGGGTAAGCTGTCGTTCAAAGGAGGCCGCCTCTCAAAGCTCTGACCCACACTCGACTACATTCAAAGCAGGCGAACATACCTGATCGAGAGGAGCGCGAGCTCTATTCAACTGGGCGGATGAATGGCGTGAAACTTCTGACGCATGTTGAGGTTGATGAGATGTCGCTAGATGGCAACGAGAGCACATGTGTCAGAGTCCTGCGCCAAACATGCGCGATGCATTGGCAGATAAAAAAAATATACACTTATATTAAAGAGAAAATGTAATAATAATAATAATAATAATAATAATTAGGACTAATGCTCTACGATTCCATATTTTAAAAGTTTAAACTGTCAGTTAAGCGTGTCGACTACAGCGCTGCCGCTAAAACTTTGTTTTCATTTAAAAAAATTAGTCCGATTTTCTGAGAACAGTTCTATATTAAAGCAGGTCTTCAAAGAATTTTATATTGTATTAGCCTATCCTTTTCTTTTTAGGGTGGGTATTAAATACTAGCGATTATTATTAAAATGGGGTGTTTATTTAGGATAGGGACGATAATCTCAGTACTACAATAATATTTTATTCATAATGATATGTTTAAAAAATGTGGAATGAGATAACTGAGGCTCTGATGCTGTAACAGCATGTCTTTATTAAACTAAAAATCACATTGTCGCCACAGTCACTCCGATTAGTTTGTAGATCCAAAACATGGATAGTTCCTAGACCGCCGTTAAAATCCTGTTAAATTTCGCATGTATTTTTGGTTCTTCGTTAAACTGCTGTCTTGATTTTTCCCACGCAAAGAAATCAAGCATATAACAAAGTAATACACAAATCAGTTATACAAGGCATAGCACGATCTTAAGATGAGCATTTGTGCAATCATACTTGTGTCACAAACATAATGCAACCGACCCTATCCCGTCTTAAAGTTTAACACTATATAAACCCAAATCAAACAGCATTTATTCGCAATGATGTAATATTAGAAAGTTTTTTTCCGGAGGTCTAATATTGTACCCCGTTTGGCTAGATCCGCGCCATGTTATTTTTAACAAACAGTATATTCTGATATTCATGTGTTTTTCGTTTACAGGCCCGTTTGGTGGTCGGCATTAATCCATTTAAAATCCATTTGACTCGAATGATAAATGAAAATGACTTACTTAAATGGTGATTTCACTACTTACAATTTATATTGTGAAAACTAACAACATAGGCCTAGATGTTTAAACAATGTTAATACTGTCGTTATGTGCATATTCTAAGAATGTTTGTTTATATTTGTTGTAATGATAACGTTGTTTATATTCAGACTGACACTGGAAAAATTGCGGTTTTCCCCCGCCCAAAGCTGTCCACGGAGAATCCCTACCGCGTCTCACAGACCAGTCCGACTGGAATAAAAAAAAAAATCGGCGCTGTGACAGCGATTTAAGATTGTGCTTTGGCTGGAAATTATTTCGCGCCTAGACTTAGGATATTGTAGTTTTTCCAACGTATTTGCACTAAGTAATAATAATGACGCACACATATTAAAAATTGCGCGACATGTAATTAACGTAATTAATTCCAAACATCTCCATAATGAATAGTTTTCTTTGTCCTCTCAGTCTCGTAGTTTAATTTTTTTGCTTTTTTCTTTTTAAGTCCTTTTTATGCTTCCGCCGTTTCTTGCTTAGCAAAGGAGACCACGTTTTAAAACAAACAGCTATTTCGCCCCTTAAGCCACGACAGGACAATGTTTGCTTTTGCTAAAATACCATTTTCCCTGGGCATCGGGGTGTTGTTTGACGGAGTGGGGGTACTGACAGAGTTCAGAGCTGACTGACCCTTTGCTGGGCAGGACAGGGATCTCAGGATGCATATAAATAAAAGATTAGAACGGAAAATCAATTTCTGGGCAAACTCATTAAAAATGCTTCATCTTCTTAAATGATTCCCCTTTTCCGTTTCTGGCCCCTCTACCCGCGCCCGCTCCTCTCATCCCCGCGTCTCTGTTGCTCTCCCTCGGCGGTAATTACTTGCGCGGGTCGTTCTCAGCCCTTTGATTCGCTCGGTTTCGCAAAATGAAGGTTAAGTTTGTTTAACCGGCGTGGATTTGCCAGCCATGTTAAAGCATATAATGCGCCGGGTTCTCGGTTTTTTTTCTTCCCCCCACCTCCTTTTCCAGTTTTCCCCTCGCGAGCGGCTCCGGTGGGGATCCAAGGTTAAGGCTGGCAAAGGCCCAGGGGCCTCGGGTGGATAGGAAGCGGAACAAACCCGACCTGACTTTGCGGAAACGATACGGTTGTTAAAATCACCGCTGTTAACCAAACTAAAACGAACGCAGCTTTCTAGCGTTACTCTTGTGATGCTCTAATGTTGTTTAAGTGTTTTTTTTTTTTTTTTTTTTAATAGCTGGCAATTTAAGGAAATACGACAATCAATTTTCAATCCTTGGACCACTGGGTGAGGTCAGTTGATACAATTAGGCTTTGGTATTATACGTGGTGCACAGATAGGCCACATTTTTTTAAATTGATGAAAAACAACACAATGCCTTTCCTCTCCTACCAACTTTATACTAGTTAAATGGGGGGATTTCATGGCGTTAATCAATCAATCTATCAATCAAATGAAACAGTTAACTTTGTATTACATATGATACAAATGAACACAATGGCTTTCAAAATCTGTCTTCTTACAACCAGCAATTTATTTATGGTGCTGGTGATGTTTCCTCAGAATGTTACTGTATTATTTTAGTCTATTGACAGTAAACGTTTCAACACAAAACAAAGATTTAAGCATTAGCTAAAATTAAACATACAGCAATTCCTGACTGTATCAACTGGAGTTACTGCAAATAAGCACAAGTATTAAATGATATATGTTACATTTGCCGATAGTAGCAATAGTGTAAATTAAGGATCATTCTGTGTATCTGTCTTTGGAATAGCAAATCAATATGTGTATGAATGTAAAGATTATGGATATCACCAAGCAGATAATCAGTATTATAGTTCTCATCCTTCCATCCAGCTCCCTTAACTGAGCTGGCAGCAGATCCCAGGAAACAGAGGCAAGCTGGGATACCCGGCACTGGATACCCGGCACTGGATACCCGGCACTGGATACCCGGCACTGGACACCAGTCCATCAAGCTGTCACCTGAGGCAGCATTTTATGGAGTTGAAGTTTCAATACAGTATTATTTTATATGTTGTCTGAGGCAGAGAATGCAAAGAAGGTATTATTGAAAAGTTATGTCTTATTCTCAGGGTTAGAGAGACAGGTACTACTGAGATCTTTAGCCAGAACAACTTACAGTAGATGGAAGAGTAATAATTTGCACATGCTGTCTGGGATTTGAACCCACAACCTTTTCATTGTCACTACAATGCTCTATTTGTTGAACTACAGGAACTTGTGTGTGGCTTCTTCTGGAAGACGTGTCCACTTTCAGTGTGATGCTCTGAAACACTCATTTGTGGCTGAGTCTAGAGCCCACTTCAGAGAGAAAACAGAGGCACCTGACCTTGGAGAGCCATCGTTGCATGTAGAGGTGACCTTGGGTTGGGATGGGGGGGAGGAAAACCTGAGCTGAACGGCTCCAGGGGGAGAAAGACAGGAAGCCCAGCAGCAGGTGGCACTGCATGTGTATCCAGTGGGTTATGGGTTCACAGCCCAGAGGGGCCAGTGCTGTGTGCTCCTCTGAGTGAGCTAATTAAGCCGAATCCCTTCAGTAATTATCCTGCTATATAGGGTATACACTGCAGATGATGGCTTTGGATTAAAATGGCACCAAATCATTTGTGTGCGTTCATCAGAGTGCTGCTGGGTTGAGAGGGACAGAGGCCAGGGAGAAAGGGTACAGCCCTTCAAGGGCTTTGACACTTTAAATAATGGGTGGATCAAGGAGGATTTGAACAGCTGACTTTGTCTTCAAGCTCCTCAAACCGACTATGCACCTCATATTTACATAAACCATAACCGTCCTCCTCTGAGCTACCATCAAAACGTTTGTCTATGATAAACACGAACAAGGCTGAATAGCATTTACTAATCCATTCATTACATTTTTACACAACCTACCTGCTCAGATGTTAGATCTGTATATAAAACAGGACCTAAAAGTTCTGAAAAATCCATAATTATGCTGCTCAGTTTGCCTGCCAGCTTTATCTAGGGGGACCAACTGAGCCGTTTATACTGTTGAGCATTAACTCGGGAAAATCCGGCATTGTGTCTTGCTGAAGCCGGGACAGTGATGCCCCCATTTTAGGGATTATCCCAGGTGATAATCTGGCTGTTCTCTGGTGATGTGACAGCATTGGCAGGTCCTCAAATTGCCCCCCATGTCATTAGAGCAGCGTTTCCAAATCTGGCCCTCGGGGACCTACAGACAGTCCACGTTTTTGCTCCTACTAGGAGCTGGAAGGGAGCAAAAACTGGACCGTCTGTAGGTCCCCGAGGACCAGATTGGGAAACGCTGCATTAGAGGATCTGTGGTTTGGCTCTGGTGAGTGAGGCGGGCGTCCTGCACAGGACAGGAGCCAATGCTGCCGTCCGCCGCAAAGCCCGTAACGCCACGTTCAGCGTGTCACCGATGCAGCTCGTTCAGCCCACGGATCGGGGAGCCAGATATGACGTCTGCATTGCCACTGTGCTGTTGGTACTCTTCAGAATGTTAGCTGTGTTTAGCACAGTATAGTAGAGCCAATAGGATCTGGCTTGACCTTGGCTGAGTCTGACCTCGGCCAATCAGAAACAGGCACCTCAGACAGCTGCATGTTGACATGCAGGAGCCTAATAATGTCCTTGCTCTTCTTATACACGAAGACTCTGGCCTAGATCATTTTTAGTGAATGAAATGAATTGAACTGAAATTGAACTGGAATTTAATTGAATTGAACTGGGGGTGTTGGGGTGGGTGTGAATTTAGGAGGTGGGGCTGATAATTAAACTTAGTATGAGCCTCATGAAGACACACGTCACACAAACAGAGTTACAGTGTGCCGTGTATCATCGCCATCATGGGTCCGCACATCACCCGGGGGGGGGGGGGGGGGCGGAGCGGGCTTTGTGTTTGCATACCTGCTCCAGCGTGTCCACAAAGCATGGCATCAGGCACAAACCTATACATTGGCATGGGGCCACTTAGCGCCGAAATAGTTATTTGTTAACCTCGGTGTCGGAGCGACTGGGGAGGGGCGGGCTGTGGGCCCCCGGCGGCGTTCAGGCGAAAGTGGCGTTTCACAGGTTTTCGTGACGTTTCGGGGCCCCACGAGGGGGACACTTCACATGTGCAGAGGGTCCTCTTTGATATCGGAGGCGGCGTGCCAGAGAGGGCGCCCTCAAAAACAGACGGTGGCGAATTCATTCTCGCAGAAAACATTGGAATAGCCGCATCCAGTGCTCCCAGCCAATGGCTTTGATGCTGCCCAGTTAGCACGCGTGGTAATGAAGTATGCTAATCACGCACATCGGGCCTCAGCGGGGAGAGCAGATCGAGAAAAAACAAATGTCACTCGGCTCGGGACACATCAGCTCTCCTCTTCATAGCAGATACCTCCGTCTGCCGGCGACTAAAAGCTGCGAATCATCGTTCGACCCAAAAGCTGATCCATGGCGAGAGGTTTCCAGCTCTGATGAAGAATGGCAGCTCACTGCTGACACTAAGAGCGTAGAAACATAAACCTGCTGAACTGTGCACCAAAAAAGAGTTGCAATTACACTAATCACGCCGTGTCTTTGTAAGTGCTCCGCGTTAAAACGTACTTGTGTTTGCGCTCCACACAGCAAATACCTCACGCCGCTGGGGTCGTAACCGGGGTACGGTTTGAATATTTTATCCCGAACGGAGCGTGTGAGAGCAAACCCCTTCATTAATCTCATTCGGAGATGGGGTGATTTTATTATATGAAAGGAAGGGGAGGATTTGAAAGGCAGGGTCTCCCGTGGATGGGGCGTAGAGCCGTGAGGAGGGTGGGGGCACAGAGAGGAGCGACGTGGAGACAGAGACAGAAAGGTGTTTGTCTGTTTGACCGTGTTTGCTCGGAGTCAGACGGCTGATCCAGCCACCCCCCCCTTTTCGGTCGTCCTGCCTGCTACCCCCCAGGGAGAGCACTGGAGGTCAGGGAGAAGGTGGAGGTCAGCTAGGTCTGGCTCAGTGCTCCTCAAACACTGTTAATAGGACAGTGCTGGGGGGGGGGGGGGTGACAGCTTGGCAAACTGAGGCTAAATGCTTTGAGGACAAACACACACACACATGCGCCCCACTCAGCAACACACAAATTTACACGGTGCACTCATGCGCACACACACACACACACACATATGTGCCATGCTCATACATACACACATGCCATGTGGTTATGCGCACACACACGTGGCACGCTCATGCACACACACCCATGCACACACCCAGTGCCACACGCACACACATATACAGACACACCATGCTCATGCACACCCCCAAACACATGTGTGCGTTAAGGTCAAAAATGGGATCTGAATTTAAATAATTTGTTTCTTGTTCTGCTTAGCAACCAGGCTAATATGGCAACAAAAGCCGATACGCTGCAGGCGAATAAGACGACGGAAGCAGCACCAGTGAGCAGCGCCTGTTTCTAAACATGTCATGTTGCTGATCAGGGGGGCGGACAGAGGCAGATGCTGAGGGCCAGATGTGGCAGGAGAGGAGGATGATGGGATATGAGCCTCTGCGTTTGCCCACGGGCCTGTTTTTATCACCCAGTCTCAGGTGTATCCAGGTAACTCCAAGGCCAGCCTGCACTTAAAATTCAATAGTCGAGGTAATGGCTGATTGCAGGGCTGCCTCGTAAAATGGCCTGTTTGCCCAAAGCTGTGGCGGCCGCTCTGGGTCTCCTGGGTTTAAAGTCACGCTGGGCCTTTTATTGGGGAAGAGGGACAGAAACAATCTGAAGTGGGGACGGGACTTTGCCGGCGTCTCGCTTTGAACACAACCTCCCCCCCCCCCCGCCACCATCTCTGCCCATGATCCTCCTCCTCAGACACCCCATTTTAATATCCCTTTGTCAGCCTTGCCCTCCTTCCTCCTGACTTTCTGTCACCGCAGTGTCTGTCTGTCCGTAGCGTCAGCTCTGGATCAGCCTGGGTCCGTGCACAGCAGCCTCTTCACGCTGAGACGATAAGGGCCGCCTGAGAACCGAACCCGTAATAAAAATAAAACGAGTTAATGTGGTCAAAGGTCTGTGGTAGTAACCAGTGTCTGTCTGGGTGCTGAGCAAACAGGCACCTGGGAGGACGCCTGCGGGGCTTTCTGCTCTCAAGGTGAACCGCTGACAGGGAAGAGCAAAGAGGATTAGCCGCACGCGGCTACCGACCGCTAACAGGCTAGCGGAACGCGGAGCTCAACTGGTGCTGATGCATCCTGGGTGTCACGGCCGTCACCAAGCGCACATGTGCCCAGGCAGCCTCCGCACTCCATCGTCTCACCTTCGCCGCTCCCTTGTTTGTTTCCATCTGTAAACAGACAACAAGACAAGCAAAATACAGGCCGTAGACATCAATAAGGCCGGCTTTTTTTCCTCGCCCCCCCCCCCCCGTCATTGTTCCAGGCCCCGATTCCGCCACGCCACCCATGTCATTATGCATTCGCCCCGCCGCTCGCGGCCTGATTGAAGAGACGGGCTGATTTCTCCGGCTTCCTGTCGGATGGAGGGTGCTATAGCAAATAGCCGGATGGGTGTGTTTGTGTAACCCTAACCTCTCCGCCGCCGTACCGCACTACGGTAAGTAAGCGGTTTTATGGGGCCCTGCAATGCCTGAGTGGAAGTCAAAAAAGAAAAAGAGGCAAATTGATCAATTCAGAATTAAAAAAAATAAAAACTCCGCAATGGTTAGGGGCTGATTGTCACTCCCACCTGCCTCTCTGTATATGAAAGTGCCAGTAATCACACAGAATTGTGGGTAACACTAGAGCATCTGGGCTGATCTGCATTCTGCTAACAGGGTTACCCTGGCAACTTACTGTATACATTTTCTGGCGGACATGGTCCTTCCTCAAGCCAGCTGGTCATTGTTCCGTTGCACATGAAGGGTTTCTTGGACGGGGCTGCCCAGTGGCATAGCCCGCTATGGTGTAGTAATCTATACTAATCAATGTTGCAGCCAAACGGCTCGTCAGTTCGTAGAAACGTGCTAAACCGGATAGAAACCATGGTGTCATCTCGCTGAAAAGATTCATAATTAGCAAAGCGGAGAGTGCTAAATGAAACATAGCTTGTACCTTCAGACGGGCGGGTGGGGATGTTTTCTCACCGGGAAACGTATTTTTTTCCACCTCTCAGGCAGACGCGAATGAATAAAGGGGCCGCCTGCATGTTTACGAGCCGGCGTTATGGCGATGTGTCGTTGTGGGTCTTTTAAGCTTCACTTGAAGATGTTGGTCTTTGGTATTAGGCAAACCTTCAAGTGAGAACTCAGGGTAAAAAAAAAAATATGGGGGTTTGAAAGTATTGCTATTCTGCAGGAAATGGTCTGACGTGACGTTTCTCAGCCTGGGGTGCTTTCCCAAAATTCCCAGTTAGCAACATACTGTATACGTAGTTTCACCCATTCTGTTGTATAGTTAAAACTATGTAAGTTGCTATCGTAGTTCTTAGCTGTGCTTTTGGGAAATGCACCCCTGCCCGATTGCATTAGGGTTTTTTCTGGGTTGGATGACTGCCTTGGCGCTCGTCGCCCAGCGAGGAGGGTGCTGTCTGCCCCCCCTT